ACAGTCTCGATTAGGAATTTTTCACGTTGGTCATGTTTTTCTTCTAAAAATTCAAATAATTTCTTTATATAATACAAGATGTATATATAAAGATTTTTGTATGTAACATTTTACTGTATGACTAAAAAGAGATGAAAAAAAATTATTTGAGGTTTTGTCATTTGGCAAAATTTTGAGAAATGAGTCGTTGTGAGAAGATTTCCGAAAATTTCATATTAAAAATCTTACTTATGAAAATTTTAAGAACTTAACAAAACGTCGACTTTTTTGACAGCATAATTAAACGGGTGTAATTATTATTCGTCTTTATATTAAAATAATACAATTTATATACAATGTATAATTTATAGTAGACAGATTAACTAGTCAACAGTGGCACTTAACGGTTAGTACACTAAACACATTTATTTAGGTTCCCAAATGTTAATTTAGTACAAAGAAAATGCCAGGATTCATGTCAACACAAAACAAAGTTCGATTTTTTTAATCATTTCATCCCAAGCAAGGCGATAATGCCACTAAACGTAAGGGTTTACGGGGGGGGGGTGAAAAAGAATGAGAAGATTTTAATGAGGAAAAAGGACAATACAGAAAGAAACAAGATGGCGTTTAGCCGTTGCATTAAAATTTTTGAATTTTTTTTTTTTTTTGGTTGTGGGGGAGCAATAAACTCGAATGGAGTTCCACAGGCGAGGAGTGCGAGAAAAGAAACTATTAGAATAGAACACCTGGCTGGTTTAACAGTAAAACGATGAGACTTAATTATCAATCTAGTAGTATGCTAAAATTCATGTAGTCGAGGCACCAATGAGGAAAGCTCATCATGACAATTTCCATCGAAATATTTGTAGAAAACCTAGAGGGGGGTGTATATCACGTCGGTGAGAAAGTAACTGAAGTCGAAATGACAGGTCAGGATTGATAATATGACAGACCCTTCTTTGGATTTTGTCAATAATCTCAAGGTATATACTAGAAGAACTAGTCCAGATTTCACATCAATATTTAATGCGTGTGCGAATGGTAGATTTATAAATATGCAAGGTGGATTCTAACGAGAAATATTTCTCACATGACACGGTGAGGCAACTTTGCTAACAGTAGCCCTAGCAATTGATTCAATATAATTATTCCATATTCATGTCAGTGGAAAACGTGAGACCAAGAAGGCGAAAAGAGTTGCTTACCTGGGAGTTAGCACCAGCCATGCTGATGGCAGCTACAAAAGGTTCTCTATGATGATAAAATGACAGCAGTTTTGTTTTGGAGGCGTTAACAATTCCAATTCCATGTCCCAGTTAACCACAAATTGGGAGTAATTTTCGAGAGAAGCTGCCAGAAGCTACTGTTTTTCAAAAAGGAAAGAACCCGGGAATTATTGATACCGTGTGGTTGATTTGATTTCTTGCAAGGAAAAATATGATGGGGAAGCGATTTTTAAATAAAATGGCGCCAGATGTTGAGAAATTTGAAAACAACAATGACGAGCGATGAAGACAACGAATGGAACATGACTTCTTCATTACACTTTCAAAAACGAGATTCCATCCAGGTTAAAAGATTATTTTTCTTTGTGCAAGTTTAAAAAATGCCGATCATATCATTTTAATTAAACCGATACACTGTTTTTGTTTTAAATAACTCATACCATTGAACCCTAATACCTGAACAGTTACCAATAGATTATTATTGGACATTTTTAGGTAACAGTAATGTCAGTCCTCCTATGTGGCAATTTATGCTAGACAATTGCTATAAAGATGAAGAAGAGACTTGAAACAACAAGGATGTGGCTCTACAGAAGGCTACTGGAAATTTCATGAGTTAAACACGTGAGTAATGAGGCAGCTTCAAGGAAAATGGTAACAAGATAGAGAAAGTTGAAATTTATGGTATATATAATGAGGAAAGACGGCTTGGAGAATTTAACACTCACAGAACAAACGGCGAGGGAAACACTCAGTAACCTACCGCACAAACTTGTACAAATGGATGGCAGGAGAGTGATGGTCAAAAGACAAACATTATTAAAAAGATACAAAGGATGGGAAATTATGGAGAGTCATGATTGTCTACATCCTGAAGAGGCACAGCATATAGGAGAAAAGCGCTGAAAACTAGACATGATCAGGAAGTCATTGATTTTTTTTTATATATATGCAAATTCGTAATTGAATAGTTACACTTATGTGCGTATATCTGGGACGCTTTAAATGAAACAATGCTACGAAATGTTTCACAAAGTAAGGTTGGAAATTATGAATGAGCGAATAGGATTTTAAGAGCAAGTTACTAATTATCACTCTGCGGCAGGCGTCCTGCATTTTACCTGTTTATGTAATGGAGAAGAAGACAACACTGAAATTACGAGAAGACGAAAAAGGAAGACGATTTACAAGTTAGGTATGGTGAACATAGAAGCCGCGTAGAGATACCATCACTTTAATATGCGTGCATATGAGAGAGAAAGTGCGGAGAAAGAGAGAGAGAGAGAGAGCGAAAGAGAGGGGAAAAAGAGAGATAGAGGTATTTTTATGTTTTAAGAGACGAGTTGTTCCTTGCCTTCCCACTCAGTTTTTTGCTCTCCTTTTGAGAAACGAAATGTCACGTGGCATAAGAGAGAGAGAGAGAGAGAGAAGGCAAACAAGAAAAAAGAAAAGAAATTATAAAATAATAAAAGGAAGAAAGAAACCAATTAAAAAGAAGATTAAGTGAAAAATAAAAGAAAATCAAAATCAAAAAATACATGAATGAATGAAGGAAAGAGAAAAAGCAAAGACAGAAAAAAGAAAATGAGAAAGAGAAAAAGAAGAATAAAAAGAAAGAAGTAATGAATGAAAAAAAAAGAAAGAAAGCCTGAAATAATGAAAAAAGAAAGATAAAAGAAAGCTTAAAATAATGAAGGAAAACAAAAGAAAAGAAATCATGAAATGGTGAAAAAAAAATGAATGAAAAAATTAAAAAAATGAAATAACGAAAGAAATAAAAATGACTGAATAAACTAAAAAACTGAAAAAGAAAAAAGAAAAGTAAAGAAAGAAAGAAAGAAAGAAAGAAAGAAAAAGAAAGAAAGAAAGAAAGAAAGAAAGAAAGAAAGAAAGAAAGAACTGTTCGGTTAAGTCCACCTTAAGAATCAGATAAAAGTACATAAAGAGAAGGTGGAACAGGTTGTTCGGTTTTCTTAGAAAATAAACTAAAGAAGAAAAAGCCTTTATAATCAGGAAGCGGACTAAAAAACCCTCCCACATTTTGTGTTTTCTTTTTTGCTGAGTTCTAACAATTATTACTTGTATTTTTTGGTTTGTTCGTGTAGACGTGCGTTGGTCAACTGAATGAATCCGAAAGATTGTGGGCGAAGCTCAAGTTGCCTTATCAGAGCTAAGATCAACAATCTGACGATCAATGTGGCCTTTGATCGCCGATCTTTGTCGAAGGTTGATCAGCCTAGCTGAGTCCGGATCAGTATCAGCTGTCATACTGTACGCAACTTAAGCAAGATTCATGCGAATATATTGAAGATTATTTTTCTGCCCGGCCTATTCACTTGTGGCCGAGACAAGGAGCAGGTCGGGCTACCAAGGTCATAGAGAAGGGGTCGACAACTTCCGCAAGGGTTGGGTTTACTATTTAAAACATTAACTGGGTTATTCGTTTGTTTCTTGCTGATGGGAAGAGAGCAGGTTAGGAGCTAGACACTTAGACAGATAGGAAGAAAGTTTCTTGACGCACGAACAGGTTGACAATGGTCTCACGAATTGATAGACGTCCAGACAAATCCACACGCACACACAGAGAAGCAGAGAAGAAAAAAAACTCATCATAATATAAAAGTGACAGAACTATGTACGACTAGTGTTTCACATGGAGGAGGTTTTACTGAATAAAATTGCAAATAGTAAAAGGCTCGAACCATCAATCAATGTGTACATTTCTATATTTATATTTGCACTTGTAGGGACGATGGTGGCCTAACGATTCACTGTAGGGTGAATGGAATCATGTATATATATATATATATATATATATATATATATATATATATATATATATATATATATATATATATATATATATATATATATATATATATATATATATATATATATATATATATATATATATATATATATATATATATATATATATATTTAAAAAGGAAGGTGAGGTTAATAATCCGGAGTTCTTAGCATTTATTTTCATTTTTAACAAACAGTGCTCGATACAACAGTAGAGCATAATATTATTATATTTTTTAAAAAAATATGTTTCCAAGGCAACGTAGAAATTTCTGTTATAAAACTGAAACTTCAATCCTAAATTTAATTATAAAAACGTAAACATTCTTAATATTTTGAGATGTTAGCGTTAAGGAAAATTTAATTTATTTTAATTAGGAATGTTTGTTCATTGTGTAAAACTTTGTGTATACTTATAAAAATAGGAATTAAATAAAGAAAAAAAATGTCAAAAATATTGTCATTGAAACTTAGACGATGTGTTGAAAACGTAGGCAGCATCGAGAAGAGACTGCTTGAAAAAGGAAAGCTCTGTCAATGAACAAACACTCTAACCTCCACCTAAACTTAACCGATTTTGTAATCACCATACATTGAATACATGAGTTGTTTTAAAAAGTTAAAACCCAACCACTCCTGTTTGAAACTGGAGTTCGAAAGTCAGTCAAACTGATTTAAAATTGGTTGGTTGGTTGGCTGGTTGATTTTTCTTGTTTAGCGGCATATCAACACCTGTATGGGTTATTAATGTCGAAATCTAAATATTACCTACACAGTTTTATGTTGATTTTTGAAATAATAATGATTTTAGTAATACGAGTCTTACTAATTGACCCATAGCTGGAGGAAGAATAGGTGGTTTCATATCTTTCCCAAGGATATTTGCACGAAAGTGAATATAAAGAACACAACTGCAATTGGAACTCGGCTGTCCGATTAACAATCCCGAGCCATTATCCATTACACCACGCACACATCCAGGCTCACTGCACTTGCTATTCCAAAGCGGTTACCCATCTAGGTACTGTACAAGCTCGACGTTGCTTAACTTCGGTGATCGTAAGGGAACCTTTGTTTTAATGTGGTGTAACCGTAAGCCTTAGGAGTTGGGGAAACATGATATTGCTCATGGAACCAATTTACTTATTAAATAAGGGCACTTCGACGTAGTGTAATGGTTGGAAGCTTGTCTCGCTAGATCGATTTTGACTGAATAGTGAAATCGATTCTCACCCAGTAAGAATCGAACTTACCTACGGTTAGAAAAACAGCAATGTAGTTATGAAATATCAACTTTGTGTAACGAATGGTTGGAAATCATTTAATAACAATAGAAATATAATGAAAAGCACCTTGGGTAATTATGCTTAAAAGCCAAAGTGTATTATGAATGCATTATCCCAAATCTGAAACTTAGAAGCACTCAAAGTGCAATGGAAATTGCCATGCTAATTCAAGAGGAAAAAGAGATCAGCATGAATCAGACAAGACCCAAGAGATACATTAAGAGGCAAAGAACGAGAACTCCGAGACAAAAAACAAGACGAAAGGCTGGAGCAAAAGGTTGTATGATTAATCATTAACGGATAACAAGCTCGGTGGGAAAATACCAGATAGAAGATGAGATAGAGAGGCTTGCTGGTAACCTATAGTAAAGGTGACTATCAATAATGGTTATGACAAATGCCATCGCCCAGCATTGGATCCGCAAAGGAATGCTGATGCGTCTGATGCGATTTGTGGCTTTTATCATCTATGATTCACACTCATAGAGAATCTCTATGTCAAGTGAAGATTATTTTCAATTAAAATTGACAGTAAAATATATTTTATTTAAAACATGAAGAGGTGATGAAAAGTTCTCCGCTCGTACAAGAAATTCATTTAAAAATATAAGTTGTTTCGTATTTGATCATTTAGCCAAATTTTGAATTGGCCCGAAAGCTTTTCGACACAAACTTTAAAGAAAGTAAATTTTAGAAAATGTAAGATAGATAAATTTATTTATAATATAAGCTAAGGTTACCCTATGCTAATTAATTAGGGAAATTATTTATTTAATTTTTTTGTGGCTACCCTATGCTAATTAAGTAGGGAAATTATTTATTTAATATTTTGTTGCTACCCTATGCTAATTAATTAGGGAAATTATTTATTTAACGTATTTGCCGGCCTATTGGACGCGGATTTTTTTCAAAACATTACCCTGCGCCCAATGCAGCAGTATCATTTATGAGAAGGACATGAATACCTCGAAAAAATGGGTGTCACCAGGAATCAGTGTACGCATAGTGATTATCTCTGAAACAAGGCCGCCCGGAAGTGGACAAACCTGATATCAATGAAAATATCCCTGAAAAAAATCACTCAGGAAAATTAAATTAAGAAATTTACGGAATTGCACAATATTTTGTTGTTTGTTTTTATAGAAATAGCAAATTTTTCAGAAATATTTGCTTTGACTGATCTATTGCTGCTTGCTTTGTGTGTATTTTTGTTGATATACAGCTATTGGAATTTGCTTTTCTGCATGTATGCTATGGGATTTCATTTACCAACAAGTACCAGATTTCTGGGTTTTTTTTTTACCTATTACCATATGTACCAATGTCCACTGATAGTAGATTTCTTTGTAGCTATTATGAATTTACTGTATGTGAAAATATTGCTCCCTGAAAAACAAAAACGATGCATGAAGAAATGTACTAAAATTTTTATTTTCTAAAAATGTCCTGGTAATTAAACCTTACCTCACTTCTATTTTTAAAAAAAGTACCAGTCGTATAATTTGTACCAATACTGTAAGTGTTTCTTCATGGTTAGTGAGAAGGTCACATAAAGGTAAGGTTATAAATGTGATATTTTTGGTTGTGATGTGTTTATTTTTTTACTTATATATTCCATGCCAAAATACGGGTGCGTCTAATGCGCAGGTGCGTCTAATAGGCCGGCAAATATGGTATTTTAAGGTTATCCGACGCTAGTTAATAGAGTTATTATTCTTTATCTTAGGGATACTTCGTTTTTAGTCAACGAGGGAATTATTTTTGTTTTATGGCTATTTGGTGCTAGATCAGTGGAGTAATTATTTTATTTTAGGCATTTGCCAATAAAATTTCGGTATATTTTTTGTAAGAAAAAAGGTTACACTTTAATAGAAAACACTCATCGGTAGAGAGAAGAAGTGAGTCTATATCTTGTCCAAGGATATTTGCACGATAGTGAATATAACGAACCTTTTACAAATGGATGAGGTAAATGATATTCTTTTATGATTCCTTTCGTCACATCCCGGCACTGGAAATCTTTCTTTTTACACCAGACAATTGCCAGCAAACATCACACATCCCAGCGCCAATAGCGTATAACAAATTTATGGCGCTAATTTTATTTTAGTTTCGCTTTTGTTAGATTCTTGTCTTTCTAGTTTGTTTCTCCATTGCGTTGGTGGGATGCAAGAGATATGCGAGCATTAATTTTCGTTTAGAGACTTTCCTAACCGTAGCTAAATAAATTAGTAGAGTCGGTTGGATTCAATTTCTCGACTGGTCAGTTGTAGACTAATTTCACAACCAGGTGCAATTCGACCACACTCTTACACAATAATCGCCCACATTTTTGAGTATTCTATGTTTTGAGTTTATATTGATGGGATGTTGTCAAACGTCTAGTCTTTCTTTCTCTAATCTCTTAATCCATTCATTCAACGAAGCAAGAACCGTTTGAAATTAAACAACGCACAAGATCTCAACCTCGTACGAGAAATTATTTTGTTCTTCTTTTGTTCTTATCCATGATTCGATACGAATTCATGACTGATCAGCTCGAGAATTAACCCATGTATACCTTGAAGTAGAAAATCTAGAACTTTTTCTAATGTTTCGAGATTTTTCTATCAAATTTTATGAATGTAATACAGTCTCAAGACACAAAATATAAAGGGGATGATTGTAGCCAATTAGGAATTAGTTGGCACTGGGATTTGGCATGAGGGTGTAAGTTGGGAATTATCAGAGTTAAATTATTATGGTGATATTTTGGAAAACGAAGAGAAAGAAATTGACTGGATTTTCGGTTTATTCACACACACACACACACGCACACATATATATATATATATAGATAATATTATTGGTCAATATACATATGGATATATATATGTATATATATATATTCATACATGTTTCATTAAATAATATAGTTTCATAACGTCTGATAAGCTTAATAACATTATCATTAAACGAAGAAAGAAAATCACAATATTGATACATATTTTTTTTACATAAGCCATTATCAAAGATGACAATTACAGTACAATATATTAATCAATACACGGACAAGAAAGTGATGATAATCTGTTTCTGTTTACATGGATGATTTCCAAGCAACGATAAACACGTGCATATAAGACGCTGGAAGCGAAAATCGCACCGCAGCTCATGACGTCACACATGACCACACGAGAGTGAATTCGAGATGTATTAAGTATGGGAAGCCGTTGGTATAAACCAATGGCTTCTGTTACCAATTATAGACATTTAAGGATATTTGTGGAGATTTCATAATTTATTTTGTTCAGATTAGGTTTCAACTGTTTTATGTATATAGCTTCAAGAATTTTTAGTTTTTGTTTATTGTTTTCATCTTTAAGTATAATTGTGTTTTCAATTCTTTCTATATTTTTATATACTTTTACAAACGTAGGGGTGTGTTCCTCACCTCAAAACAAGGACAAAAGTCCATATAAACTTATGCCCGCATATCCTTTGTTTTTGAGTTATTAATTTTAAAGAAAGTTTACGGTAGATGTCGCTGTGCTTACATGTAGACTAGGTGTATATTTGTGACTAGGTTGTTTTCAACATTTAACGTGTGTAGTAGTAAGTTAATTTACACGTGTTCTGTTTAACAATGGCAGGATATTCATATCGTGAGCGGGCAGATATTATTTTTACATACGGCCGCGTGAAATATAATGAACGTGAGGTTGCACGGTTATATCAGGTTGCGTTTCCAGACTGAATGCAACTGAATCATCGAACGTTTGCTGCTGTTTATCGTCACGTTGCTGAGACATGATCCGTGGCACCAAAAACTATAAATCGAGGAAGACCGAGATCCGCTCGTATCCTTGATCATGAAAAACACATTCCACAGGCTGTCGGCTACGATCCAGGTATCAGCACACGTCAGGTGATCTTAACATGCCGTACTTCTCATAGTATCGCATCGAGGGTACTCCAAGAGCAGCTCTTGTATCCTTATCATTTGCAACGTGTGCAGAGTCTTTTGTCGTCTGATCACTCATCACGGGATAACTTTTGTCGATGGTTTATTGCACAAACTGCCGTTGTTTATCTCTTCTGTGTTGTTTATAGATGAGGCAACATTTGGATGAGATGAAATAACATATTATACGCAGCCAATATTTGTGAGCAGATCGGAATACATATGGTACAATACAGGTTAGACACCAGCATCAGTTTACGATTAATGAGTGGGCTGGAATTTTAGGTGACTGTCTGGTAGGTCCATACGTTCTCCCAGCACGTCTTATAGGAGCTGTCTACAGAGGTTTTATTTCGAACATACTTCCAAATATGATAGGGGATGTATCCCTGCTAATACGAAGACGCATGTGGTTCATCCATGATAGAGCACTATCACATTTTAGTCACATTGTTTGCGATGCACTGGCTAATATCTAATATGAACAATGGATATGTAGAAGAGGAATGGTTTCGTGGCCTGCAAGTTCCCCGAACTCAATTCTCAATTCGACATCGTGTCGGAGTATTTGTAAGAGTCCGCCAGTCAATGATCTGACTGGTGTATGCGTGTGTAGAAGCAATCGGAGGCACACGAGACATTTCCTATTTCTATATGGGCAATTTACCTCCCAGTGTCTTTCGTTGCAACGTCTACAATTATATGGTGGAACCTTTTTTTCCTCCTCGTTCTTTTCATTTAATTTTTCTTGTCTATTTTTAAAATACGCCGAATTTTTACTCCAATTTTTTGCTGATGGGTAATTTGACTTTTTTATTTTTTTTATATAAGCAATGCCAGCTTCTTCGATTTTTTGAGACTCTTTC